TAAGGTGCTCTTAAATACTTAATGCTGGGTAATTGACTTTCACGTATTTAGTGAATGTATATCATTTTCCTTATGAATACGCTGGTAGTGATTTGTGATCTGGTACAACTGTCGGGTGAAACGAAACAGACAAGTCTTAATCTTCCCTCTATCTTTTAGGCAAGATAGGCCTTGACCATTTACTGGTCAAACTTAGGAGAATGGAAGCGGCTCTTTGTGAAGGGAGAATTTCTAATTATTGATGGGGCCTCAAACAGGATTTGTGGAAAAACATCAACAATATGTACCTCATGAGTAGTTACAAGCACAGCAGAGGATTATTGGGTAAACTATAGCCATATTCCTGTTTAAACTTCTGAAGTAAGCAAAGTAAATGAAAAACTTCAGTGTAATTATGCACCAATGAAAAATTTCCTTGTTCCGAAAGTCCAGATTACTAATTCAAGTTGTTTGTTCAAATATTGACAAATGTATCCTGGTCTAACACGATTTGCCATGGCATGTTAAATCAATACGGGTCAACTGAATATTTAGAAATTTCTAAAGTGAACATAGATATTAACTGTTGTGCAAATTGACCATGACAGTAAGCTCAAGAGTGACTGTTCAGGGTCGGGCACTGTGGCTCAGCGCCTGATCCTAGCATCTGGGTGAGGCCGAGGCGGTGCAGATTGTCTGAGGTCAGGAGTTCAAGCCAGCCTGAGTGAGACCCCCATCTCTTACTATAAATAGAAAGAAATTAATTAGGCCAACTAATATATATAGAACAAATTGCCTGCGGCATGGTGGGCGCGCGATCCTTTAGCTCCGCAGCTACTCGGGAGGGCTTGAGGCAAGAGAGATTGCTTGAGCCCAGGAGCTTTGAGGTTGCTGTGAGCTTAGCGCTGACGCACGGGCCTCACTCTACCCTGGGCAACAAGTGAAGACTGTGTCTCAAAAAAAATAAAAAAGGGAGTGACTGTCAGAGTTGTTCCCCCTGCGGTGCCGGACTGATCTCGGGCCCAGCCCTTGGTGTCCCTGTCTGTCAGATGGCTGCAACAGCTAATAAAGTCCAGTTCCTCGGGTGAACGGATGTGGTCTAGCATGTGCATCCCCTGCAGTGGAATCCTATTCCACGGGCATAATGTTTAAGATTTTGCCTTGCCCAAAATTCCAGGCCTCAGATTACAGCTGTTTGGCCATTTTGAAAGAAATGACTATTTGTTACCTGATATTATTGGATTTCTGTTAGAAATAAACATTTGCTCGCCGTGACGTTAAGGACTGCCCAGCAGCCTTCTTTGGGCATTCAAGCAAGTTTTTCAGCCAAGAAATGGTGCTTTTTTTTTAAAAACAAGTGTTGAGGGTTGTGTTGTGCTATATATATTATATATATTTTTTTTTTTTTTTTTTTCTTTTGAACCGAATCTCAACTACTGTTGCCGGGCTAGAGTGCTAGTGGCATCAGTCCCTAGCCTCACCAGCAACCTCAAACTCCTGGGCTCAAGGATCAATGGATCTCCTGCCCACTCAGGCCCTCTTGAGTAGCCCCACCACAATGCCTGGGCTAATTTTTTTTCTGCTTTTTAGAGAGACGGGGTCTTGCTTTCTGCCTCAGGGCCTGGTTTTGGAAACTCCTGACGCTCAAGTGAGGTCCCCCGCCTTGGCCTCCCAGTCAGTGCGTAGAAATTATGAGCATGAGCCAGCCATCCCATGCGCCAGACAGATGAGTATATTATTTAAAAAAATCAGAATAATCTGGTGTACAAGTGTCAATCCTGAAACACATGTTTCGTTTTACAGTAAGTTACGGGCCCCTTATACGCACTGGACCAGAAATTCTTCTGTTCTGTTTCTTTGTTATCTTTACAGGCTAGCACAATACACTGTATTGTACACTGCCTTGTGAACTGGTAGCCTGGCATGCCTGAGCACTTATTCTTCAGTAATTTTTAATTTTTTTTTTTCTTTTTCTTTTTTTTTTTTTTTTTTTTTGAGACAGAGTCTCTTTGTTGCCCAGGCTAGAGTGAGTAGCGACTGCCGTGGCATCAGCCCAGCTCACGCACACCTCAAACTCTTGGGGCTCAAGCGATCCTTGCTGCCTCAGCCCTCCGAGTAGCTGGGACTACAGGCATGCGCCACCATGCCCAGCCAATTTTCTCTACATTATTAGTTGGCCAATTAATTCTTTCATTTATAGTAGAGACGGGTCTCGCTCTTGCTCAGGGCTGGTTTCGAACCCTGACGTCGAGCAATCCCCCTGCCTCGGGCCTCCCCAGAGTGCTAGGATTACAGGCGTGAGCCACCGCGCCTGGCATTTTCTTTTTCTTTCTTTTTTTGAAACAGACAGAGTCTCACTCTGTTGCCCAGGCTAGAGTGAGTGCCGTGGCGTCAGCCTAGCTCACAGCAACCTCCATCTCCTGGGCTAAAGCAATTCTCCCGCGTCAGCCTCCCGAGTATCTGGGACTAAGGGTGTGCACCACCACACCCGGCTATGCGTTAGTGATTTGAGGTGCTCCTGAGCACATTGTATCCCCCTCCCAGGCCCAGGTTTTACCTACTGAAGAATGATCATGAACCAGAATGTGAACTATCCAACTAGGCAGCAGGCTGTTTCGGGATGCCGGGGCAGCCACTGTGGAGGCAGAAGAGGAACAGTGACTCTGAACTCTCAGCAGAGGAGCGACAGCTAGCCTGCAGGGTCCACAGACTTTAAAAAAGACACATTCCTGAAATAAAAAACACTCTTGTCTGGCTACAGATCATTCAGAGCTCGCTATATGTTCCCTATTCTCTTCCAGCCCATCAAGATCTGCATTCTCGGTCCTCCCGCTGTGGGGAAATCCAGCATCGCTGCAGAACTGGCCAAGCACTACAAGCTGCATCACATCAAACTCAAGGATGTCATTTCCGAAGCCATAGCAAAACTGGTAACACTTTTAACTACTTTATTGGGAAGTTTTATATTTCAGAAATGCTTTCCTTAGTCGTATAACAAACCAGTAACTAATTCTACACGACGATAAATGAACAGGTGTGTTATTTTAATTGGGTTTTCCTATTGGCCCCAGTTATGAAAACACAGCCCCCCGCAGGGCTTCCTCTGTGAGGGGGAAGCATCCCGAAATTGAGTCTACCTCCAGCTGTTGCCTAAAGTGCAGCCTAGCTCTCGAGTCAACTCCTCTGTTGACTGGAATATTTTCAGGTTTTTTTTTTTTTTTTTTTTATCCCTGCAGTGTGTTTCTTAGGGTATTATCAGTTGTTCATTTATGAACTGCTTTTTATAATTTTATTGAGAATGGCGAATACTGAGGTGCATGTTTCCATACATGATTAGTAAAACTCTCGATTTCTACAAAATATGTTTCCTTCAAGATACAACGTATTAGTGACACCTTAGAAAAGTGTAGCTTCTTAAGCAGTTCTGGCACGAGCATAGAAATATATTATCCCCCTTAAAACACAGGAAGGGACACCTGAGTCTGTCATCCGTCTTTGTGTACACACACCCATCCCGCAAACTTGTGCATGACGGCTGGCATTGGGCATATCCCTGTGGCCTGTAGGAGGCGATCGTCGCACCTAAGGATACAACAGACGGAGAAGAAGAAGAAGGGGAAGAGGAAGAAGAGGAGGAGAACGTGGAAGATGCTCAGGAGCTCCTAGACGGCATCAAGGAAAGCATGGAACAGAATGCAGGTAACACACACACAGCCTGGAGCTGACCTTTTTCCATTTTTAAAAAAAAATTTTTTTTTTTTAGAGATAAGGTCTTGCTCTGTCGCCCAGGCTGGAGTGCATGATCATAGCTCACTGTAACCTTCAACTCCTGTGTGCCGATATTTTTGAACAGTGGCTATTTTTTTAATCTGCTTGTAAAAGACTACTTGTTTGCTATTAAAAGCAAGTATGGGCCGGCGTTGGCTCACGCCTGTAATCCTAGCACTCTGGGAGGCCGAGGCGGGCGGCATTGCTCTAGATTGGGAGTTCAAAACGACCTGAGCGAGACCTCGTTCTACTAAAAGTAGAAAGAAATTAATGACCAACTAAAAATTATATGTCAAAAAATTACCAGGCATGGCTGGCGCATTGCTGTACGTCCAGCTACTTAGGAGGCTGACGCAGGAGGATTGCTTGAAGCCAGGAGATTGAGGTTGCTGTGAGCTAGGCTGATGCCACGGCACTCATTCTAGCCTGGGCAATAAATCGAGACTCTGTCTCAAAAAAAATAAAATAAAATAAAATAAATAAATAAATAAAAGCAAGTATGGAAATTATGACAAAAACAAAGAAATTTCATTCATAGTCTCACCCCCCCCAGGAAAAAAAAATCTTGTTAACATTTTGGTGACTCTCTCAGATGGTATAATAGGAAAGAACTTCCTAAGCTAAAAAAAATCAAAAGGTCTGTTCATAGGTATTTTATAAGCATCAAACATTATTCATTAAAACATAAAGGACACTCACTCCTGTAATCCTAGCACTCTGGGAGGCCAAGGCGGGCAGATTGCTCAAGGTCAGGAGTTTGAAACCAGCCTAAGCAAGAGCGAGACCCTGTCTCTACTATAAATAGAAAGAAATTAATTGGCCAACTAAAAAATATATATAGAAAAAAATTAGCCGGGCATGGTGGCGCATGCCTGTAGTCCCAGCTACTTGGGAGGCTGAGGCAGGAGGATTGCTTGAGCCCAGGAGATTGAGGTTGCTGTGAGCTAGGCTGACGCCATGGCACTCACTCTAGCCTGGGCAACAAAGCGAGACTCTGTCTCAAAACAAAACAAAACAAAACAAAAAAACATAAAGGACAAACCAAGAAAAAAAATACTTGCCACCAATATGATAAAGTTAATATCCTTAGTATATGAAATACTCGGGTAAATTGATAAGAAAATCATTAAATCCTTAAAAGGAAAAAATGGATGTGTAACATTGGATCAGTCATTCATACAGGAAGAAATATAAATAAATGGAAAAGGCCGGGCGAGGTCGCTGACGCCTGTAATCCTAGCACTCTGGGAGGCTGAGGCGGGCGGATTGCTCAAGGTCAGGAGTTCGAAACCAGCTTGAGCAAGAGCGAGACCCCCGTCTCTACTAAAAATAGAAAGAAATTAATTGGCCAACTAATATATATATAGAAAAAATTAGCCGGGCATGGTGGCGCATGCCTGTAGTCCCAGCTACTTGGGAGGCTGAGGCAGGAGGATTGCTTGGATCCCAGGAGTTTGAGGTTGCTGTGAGTGCGAGGCTGACGCCACAGCACTCACTCTAGCCTGGGCGACAAAGCGAGACTCTGTCTCAAAAAATAAATAAATAAATGGAAAAGTATTCTTACTCACTTGGTAATTAATTGTAACCACTTTGTTGAACAAGCTAATCACATTAAGGTGTCCCTTTAAACTCAAGGTCTGTATTCATTCATTCCAAGCCCTTGGGATAGCATTTCAGGATGGTCCCATTGCTACTCTTAGATATTAAGTGAGCAGTCTATGGCCATACCAGCCTGAACACTCCTGATCTCATCTCATCAATAAGCCATTTAATGGGTTTAAAATTATGAAGTAAGAAAAGTAAAGTGAAAACTTAAGTGTAATTGATGACAATGAAGAATTTATTTTAGAAAGTAAGAGTTGTCTAATATAAAGTTGTTTATTTAAATGAAAAATGTATAATGGTACTAAAATTTGAATGAAATGTTAAGATAAAACGGGTAAAATAATATTAGAATTTAAGGTGAATAATATTAATGTGTGCAAATTGAAAATTGAAAGAAGATAAAAGAGTGAATGTAAGCGTAGGGAACGGTGGATCAAGAATGTGAATATAAATGATTGGAGGAAGAGGAGGGAAGATGGTAGACAAGTAAGGATTAAGCAAAGATGAGTGAGAAAAAAATATATAATATAAGTAGAAAGAAATTAATTGGACAACATAATATATATAGGAAAAATTGGATGGGAATGGTGGAGAATGATGTAGTACCGATAAATAGGAAGGATGAGGAAGAGGATTGCATTTTTTTTTTTTTTTTTATTGAGCAAAGGAGTTTTGGAGGTTGCATGTGAGTAGGCTGACACCGGCAACTACATATAGACTGGGCAACAGATAGACACATGTGTCTCAAAAAAAATAAATAAAAAGAGTTGACTGTCAGAGTTTCGCTGGTGGAGCTGATCATAGCAGCTTGGTGTTGGTGTCTGTCAGATGGATGGACAAAGTAATAAGCAGTCTCGGTGAAACGATGCGGTCTCTAAGCATGTGCACGCCCTGCCAGTGGAATCCTTTCCACGGGCATAGTTTTAAGATTTGCCTTGCAAAATTCCAGGCCTCAGATTCACAGCTGTTTGGACCATTTTGAAAGAAATGACTATTTGTTACTGATATTTTGATTTCTGTTAGAAATAAACATTTGCTCGCTGGTTAAGACTGCCACAGAGCTTCTTTGGCATTCAAGCAAGTTTTTCAGCAGAATGAAATGGTGTTTTTTTAAAAACTATGAGTTGTGTGGTTTTGATGTGTTTATATATATATAATTTTTTTTTTTTTTTTTTCTTTTGAAACCGAATCTCACTCTGTTGCCCGGGCTAGAGTGCTGTGGCATCAGCCTAGCTCACAGCAACCTCAAACTCCTGGGCTCAAGTGATCAAGCGATCCTCCTGCCTCAGCCTCTTGAGTAGCCCCACCACCATGCCTGGCTAATTTTTTCTTTTAGAAGAGACGGGGTCTTGCTTTCTGCTCAGGCCGGTTTGGAACTCCTGACCTCAAGTGATCCCCCCGCCTTGGCCTCCCAGAGTGCTAGAATTATGAGCATGAGCCACCATGCTGGCCAGAAATGAGTATATATTTAAAAAAATCAGAATAATCTGTGTTACAAAGTTCAATCCTGAAACAATGTTGTTCGGACAGTAAGTTACGCCCCTTATACACTGGACCAGAAATTCTTCTGTTTCTTTGTTATCTTTACAAGGCTAGCACAATACACTGTATTGTACACTGCCTTGTGAAACTGGTAGCCTGTGATGCCTGAGCACTTATTCTTCAGTAATTTTTAATTTTTTTCTTTTTCTTCTTGCTTTTTTTTTTTTTTTTGAGACAGAGTCTCCGTTTGTTGCCAGGCTAAAGTGAGTGCCGTGCATCAGCCCAGCTCACAGCAACCTCAAACTTGGGCTCAAGCATCCTCTGCCTCAGCCTCACGAGTAGCTGGACTACAGGCATGCGCCACATGCCCAGCCAATTTCTCTCCTACATATTAGTTGGCCAATAATTTCATTTTATAGTAGAGACGGGTCTCGCTCGTTGCTCAGGCTGGTTTCGAACTCCTGACTCGAGCATCCCCCGCCTCGGCTCCCAGAGTGCTAGGATTACAGGCGTGAGCCACCTCGCCGCCTGCATTTTCTTTTCTTTTCTTTTTTGAAACAGACAGATCTCACTCTGTTGCCCAGGCTAGAGTGAGTGCCGTGGCGTCAGCCTAGCTCACAGCAACCTCCACAATCTGGGCTAAAGCATTCTCTTCGCGTCAGCCTCCCGATAGCTGGGACTAAGGGTGTGCACCACACACCCGCTATGCGTTAGTGATTTGAGGTGCTCCTGAGCACATTGTATCCCCTCCCAGGCCAGGTTTTACCTACTGAAGAATGACCATGAACCAGGATGTGAATTCCAACTAGGCAGCAGCTGTTTGGGATGCGGGGCAGCCACCGTGGAGGCAGAAGAGGAACAGTGACTCTGAACTCCAGCAGAGGAGCGACAGCTACCTGCAGGTCCCAGACTTTAAAAAAGACCCTTTCCTGAAAGTAAAAACACTCTTGTCTGGCACAGATCATTCAGAGCTCGCTATATGTTCCCTATCTCTTCCAGCCCATCAAGATCTGCATTCTCGGTCCTCCCGTGTGGAAATCCAGCATCCGCTTCCAGAACTGGCCAAGCACTACAAGCTGCATCACATCAAACTCAAGGATGTCATTTCCCGAAGCCATAGCAAAATGGTAACACTTTAACTCTTTATTGGAAGTTTATATATTCAGAAATGCTTCCTTAGTCGTATAACAAACCAGTATAATTCTACACGACGTAAAATGAACAGGTGTGTTATTTTTAATTGGGTTTCCTATTGCCCAGTTATGAACACAGCCCCCGCAGGGCTTCCTCTGTGAGGGGAAGCATCCCGAAATGAGTCTACTCCAGCTGTTTGCCAAGTCAGCCTAGCTCTCGAGTCAACTCCTCTGTTGACTGGAATATTTTCAGGTTTTTTTTTTTTTTTTTATCTGCAGTGTGTTTCTTAGGTATTTCAGTTGTTCAATTTAATGAACTGCTTTTTATAATTTATTGAAAATGGCGAATACTGGAGGTGCATGTTCTCATACATGATTAGTAAAACTCTCGATTTCTACCAAATATGTTTCCTTCAAGATACAACGTATTAGTGACACCTTAGAAAAGTGTAGCTTCTTAAGCAGTTCTGGCACGAGCATAGAAATATATTATCCCCCTAAAAACACAGGAAGGGACACCTGAGTCTGTCATCCGTCTTTGTGTACACACACCCATCCCCCAAACTTGTGCATGACGGCTGGCATTGGGCATATCCCTGTGGCCTGTAGGAGCGATCGTGCACCTAAGGATACACAGACGGAGAAGAAAAGAAGGGGAAGAGGAAGAAGAGGAGGAGACCGTGGAAGATGCTCAGGAGCTCCTAAACGGCA